GAAAATGGGAACCATACAGAGATGATTAGCATTGCCCTTGCGCAAGGATGACGCATATTCATGAAGCATTCCACAGTTAAAAAATAAAAAAGAGCTCTGAGATTAGAACTGGCAGGGACCTCTAAATGGCTCTGCATCTTTTCCTCTTTTGTGCCTCCCCTACTCTGATTTTGCAGCCTTCAGGGATGCCCTGTGGGTGTGCAGGCTGTCTTAGGAAGCTGAGAAAGCCCAAAGCGAGCACCCTCTGAGAACATTCTGGTGTGCTCTGAAGCAAACCCTGTAATTCAACTTTAGGTGTAACATAAACCCTGCAACATGGTGGGCTCTACTCTCTTCTTCTCCTTGCTTGTTTTCAGCAATTCTGCTGCTCCCAAATTTGAATGAACCAATCACCAATGGAAACAGTAATGGAAACAGCAATTCACCAAACCAGTGGAAGCTGTTACGATTACTCACAGACACTGTACTGGGTTGTACAATATTCTCCAACAAATTCAGGTTTATCCAGAACCTATGAATGTGATCTTATTTGAAAATAGGACCTTTGCAGATGTAATCAAGTTAAAACAAGGTCATACTGGATTAGGCTGGGTCCTAATTCAGTGAGTGTCTGAAAGAGGGAAATTCAGGCCCTGGCCGGGTAGTTCAGTTGGTTAGAATATCATCCTGATACACCAAGGTTTCAGGTTTGATCCCTGGTCAGGGCATATACAAGAAGCAACCAATGAATGTGTAAATAATTGGAACAACAAACCGATGTTTCTCTCAAATCAACTTGAGAAAAAAAAAAAGAGGGAAATTCAGACAGAGACATACAAACGGAGAAGAAGGCCGTGTGAGGACAGAGGCAGGACTGGAGTCATGCTGCACAGATCAAGCAATGCCAAAGGTTGCCAGCAACCACCAGAAGCTAGAAGAGGCACGGAAGGATTCCTCTGCAGAGGGAAGCATGGGAGTATGGCCCTGTCCACACCTTGATTTGGGACTTCTGGCCTCCAGAACTGTGAGAGAATGCAATTGTATTGTTTTAAGCCATCCAGTCGGTGGTAATTTGTTATGGCAGCCCTAGGAAACTATTACAGGCACCAAGTTCATCATGAAACACCCCCCAGGAAATATTTTTTATTTAGGATACCTAATTAGTATAGGGTTAGGTTGCAAAGGCACCTTGGGGTTGCTCCAAAAAGCTAGTGTTTGTCTTTGACCCAACTTTCTCCTTTTATGTAGGAGACCGATGCTTCGGGCCTCCCACAGCACATTCTGCTTTCTGTCCAGACTGTCACAGCATCCTCCAGGGTCCCATACTGAATGTTTGAGCTTTCTGGATGCTTTACTTTGAATGGACCCTCCACTCTAATGGTTTCATCTTTAGCCTTCTTCTTATGTTTCTTTCTTTTCCCAAAAGTTTTTTAAATAAGTTGTTTAAAATATACAGAGGATAGAAAATAATATAATAAGCACTAATGGGTTGTCACCCAGGTTTCCCTTCTACCTTTCTGCACTTCTCCCCTTCTCCTTTTCTGCCATGGTCCCCTGTGCATCCAGCCAATGTGCTGCTCTCACCTCCCTAAAGAAGGTGAGGTCGGTGCAGAGGGGCCCAGCCTGACTAGACAACTACCCCCAGGGTACAATACTCACACTGTGGGTGACAATTAGGTGGCTGGCCGTGGACTTTCAGAAGGGCAGGCAAGGAATCATTACCCTCCAAGTAATTTGAACATCCCTAGTGCCTCATTCCTACATTTTAGATGTGCTCTTCCAGACTGAGCCTATCCCAACATTTTTACTTTTTAAACTAGAATTTCTTTGCTCCAAATAATCTGTAAGCAGTGGAGTATGTTGGAGATGGGCTTTTGCATCCCTCACCTCTAAATATATATACACACACTTTAAGTGAGAGACTCCCTTTCCTCTTGAGCTATCTTTCAGAATAGATTGAGCTACCTCCCATCTGGCCTCATAAAAGGTGGAGAAGGGGTCAAAGCTAATACTTGGGCATGACAACAAATAGCTTTCCTGACTTCCTTTTGTCACCTTTTGTCACCCTTTGTCTCCTTACTATCCTGCAAAGCTTTACATTCAAGGGTTTTATGTTGTTGTTTTTGGAAATACTAACTCTTGGTCATAGACTTCAATTTCCCAATTTTCCCTTGAACTTAATCTCTCCAATTAGGATTTCAAGTTACAGATTACCTTGCAGGAACTATTCTTTGTATAATTTAGAGTTCAGAGGATCATTAGGGAGACAGAGGTACAAATAAAATATGTTTTGTAATACCCCAAAGTATTACAAAATACGTTCCCATTCTCTTTTGGTAGGACTGGTAGAATAACAATGAATGGAAATGGTACAGTGTTTTTCTCACTTCTTATTTGTTTTGGACCATGGGCTCCATTCTGATTTAGGAGTCTTTCCTGCTCAGCATTTTAGTGATAATTCTCCCCATGGTCTACAAGATCCCTGTTCTCTTTGTTTCTATAGCAACAGTCCTGTGTTGCTTGGCTAGAAGCAATTTTCTGCTGCTGTGGTAAAGCCCCATTTTTTCATTCCTTTCTTCCCAGTTGCCTTGGCAACCAGCCTCTCCCTCTTCTGGTCTCTCAGTGGTAAATTCCACCCCCCTCTTTTTTCCTCTCTCTAGTAACAGTCACCTGGTCATGACTTGGACAGTGCTTTACCATCTGCAAGTGAGCATACTCTGTCATGGTCAGATTGTCATCATGAAATTAGCCTCCCTTTTGCTCTATTTGCATCATTTCTCCAGCCTGTCATCTTTCTGTTGGTTGTCATGGTAACTGTACCCTCTGAAAGTCTCCAGGCAAAGGCTCTACAGTTAACAACCATCATGTTGAGTGTCTGCCAATATGTGGCCACACATCTCGATTTTAAAACCAGCCCCAGGCAGGTACCACAAATTGGAGAGAGCAAGGCTTTTGATCAAAGCAGATTGGATTGAGAAAAGGAGGTATGGGGACCCTGAGATCTGGTGTTCTCCAAACAATATATGTGGCTACAAAACTGGCCATTATGCCAATGGTGATCCAAGTGACTGAGAAATGTATTTGCAGTTATTCCAGGCAGGCCACATATTGGCAGACACTCGCACATATGCTCTAAACTTCCAGGAGTAATTCCTCTGGCCCAAGCGATCCCAGTGATGCGATCTGAGTGCTAAACAGGGACAAGTAATCTCAGGGAGAAAACAATTAACTCTTAAGTTGGCTAAGAAGGGGTACAATAGATATTTAGACACTTTTACACATTATTGAAAATTTCTCGGCCCTTAGGCTGCTGCTCTTACTTCTTTAGTGAGGCAGATGGGGTGTGACTATTATAACAATACAAAGTGTTCAACAAATGGTGGTTGTTATGTGCCAGGGCATTGTAGTAGACACTTTTCAAACATTACTTCATTTTTCCCCTGTAACTCTGAAAGGTATTTAATGATACAAAAATCAAGGCTAATTGTGTGAGGCCACACAGCTGATAAGTGACAGAGTAAGAATTTGAACCCAGGTCCATTCTGATTCCAAAGCCCTTTCTTAAAGGTTGTGGAGTCCCCTGGATTTTGGTCCTCTCTGGTCCTAATTCTCCTTACCCCCCCATTTTTTAATTTTTTTAATCCTCAGTATTTTTTATTTTTTTAAGTCCTCAACATTTTCATTGATTTTTAGAGGGGAAAGGAGAGAGAGAGAAACATTGATGTGAGAGAGAAACACCAATTGGTTGCTTCCCACACATGCCCTAACTTGGGTTAGGGATCGAACCTGTAACCTAGGTATGTACCCTGACTGGGAATCGAACCTGTGGCCTTTGGTGTATGGCCTTCGGTGTATGCTCCTACAAATGGAACCACATGGACAGGGCCTCACCCCCACTTTTAACCTGAGGATTGCTACTCTTTTATCCTTTGTCTTGCTTACGCTTCCTCTTCATGTTCGGAGGATTGTTTACTTGTTTGTTTTTCTCTGTTCTCACCCCATCTCTTGCATCTTTTCCCCCAAGAGATGGAAAGTTTTTCCCTGCCTTCTCATTGTGTCTAGTTTGTATTGTGGGATGAAAACATTAGAGCAGCCGCCTTGGCCTGATAACAGGGCAGATCTGATCCTGGAGAAGGGCACACCTCTGAGCTGACTGGCTCCAGCCCTAGATAGGCAAGCCATTCTCCTCTGCACTTAGCGATATTGGGCGCCTGGCCCTGGCCGCATAGCTGTTGGTTCGAGGGCTACGCCAAGGTTGTGGGTTTCATCTCTGTCAGGGCACATACAAGAAAACGGCTAACGAACGCATAAGCCAGTGGAACTACAAATCGATGCTTCCCTCTTTCTGCATTCCTCTTTCTCTCTAAAACCAATAAAATAATAAAATAAAATAAATAAAAGTGACTCACTGTTTTAAAATGTCTGACATTTGTAAAGAACATTAAAAAAAATATTGGGTGTCTATTTGGTGTCAGGTACTGTGCTAGGTACTGAAGATAGAGCAATGACTTAGGATCTGTTCCTTGCTTTTATGGAACCAACAGCGTGAAGTGGAAAGTCAGACAACAGAGGAGGTCAATTTATTTTTATTTTTGTTAACACTTCGTTAAATTTATTGGGAGGAGGTCAACTTATAATTTTACATTGTAATCAATGTTATGAAGAAAAATAACTTGGTGCCGTGAAAAAGTAATCGGGATAGATCCATTTTAGATAGGATTGCCAGCCCCCTCGTAAAAAAGTTGGTCGTTGAAGCTCTGACACCACTCAGTCGATGGCACTCACGGCGGCAGCCTCTCAAGCTTGGGGACCTCGGTCCCGCAGCTCCCTCCTTCCTTCTCCCCCTCCCCCCGGCCCTAGGTCTGCACCGGCGCGCTGACGGTTGTCATGGGGACAGCTGCTCCCGCGCAAGCGCAGACGTCTTCAAGATGGCGGCGGCGGCGGCGGCGGCTGCACGAGCAGTTTCTGTGGGCCCTGGACTTCGGGGCCTGCAACGGACACTGCCTCTTGTAGTGATTCTCGGGGCCACGGGCACCGGCAAATCCACCCTGGCGTTGCAGCTCGGCCAGCGGCTCGGTGGCGAGATCGTCAGCGCTGACTCCATGCAGGTATGACAGTGCGGCCGGCCCCGGCCTGTGAGGCCCGGAGGCCCGCGTGCAGGCCTCCGGCCAGAGTGGATGCCCCGTAGCATGGTGGTAGGTAGTGAACCCCCGAGCTGTGGGGCGGAGGGAGGTGAAGGAACCCATAATTACTAACCACCCACCATCTGACCATCTGTCAGACTCAGTGCCAGGCGTTTCACTTTGATCTCATTTACTTCTCACGACATTACTGTTTGGTAGGTATTATTATTTACATTTATGGGTGAGGAAATTCACCTAAGGAGGTGAAACAGACTTTCTCCGTGTCACATAGCAAATAGGTAGGGGAGAGAGTATTTGAATCGACAAGGTCGACATATGTATGTCCAGTGAGTAACCTTTTCAATGAAAATCATTCTAGAGCTTTTGCTCTTTACAGTGCCCGGCGACACCGAGGTAAATCGGTGGCCGTCTGTGAGTTTCTGCTGAGGGAATGGAACAGAGTGGGTAGTCAGGAGGCCTGGATTGCAGCCCCTACTCGGCCACCAGCCACGAGACCTTAACAGTGTCTTTTTGGGGGGACGTTATTTATCTGTAAGGTGGAGAAAATACTACCTGCCTCACAGGGCTGTGGTGATTAATAACTGAGACCATGAGTGTTAAAATGAAGAGCAGGGTGGCCTGTTCTGAAGAAGGCCAGGCACTGGGTAAGTGCTTGTTTTAAAAAGCTGAGGTTTTTAACTTACTGGCCGTTGGGAAGCAGGAGGCTTTGTCTTCTTCCTTGAGGCAGAGGGAGGCCCAGAAGGACTGTAGCACATAAGGTGCCTGGGAACATTTGTGTTCAGATTGAGAGAGGGTGACATTTTGGGTAAATCTCTGATGGAGAAATTACAGGTGTTATTTGTTGGAAAGAATTTACAATTAGGAGTTTTTAGAGTAAATGAGATGCTTGATGTGAAATGCCAGGCTCTGAACCTAGCACCCGTGGCAGTCCTCCTCACTCTACCTTATAAACTTCTGGGCAAGGTTTCTGCCCTCATTAGTTTACTTGGGGTGATACAGCCATCAACACACATGAATTGATTAGGATAATTCAGCAAATATTTGTTTGTGAACTCTACTTTGTGCCAACTTCTAGAGACTTTAGCTCAAATCTCAGCCCTATCTTTTCTAATGTATGTGACTTCATCCTAACCTCTTATACTGTTGTTTCTTCTGTAAAATAGAATATCACTAACACAACATTGTTGTACTAATTAAATGAGATAAGTATGTAAAGCACGTAATACAATATATAGTACACAGTAAGTGGTAAAAATATAGTAGGTGCTATTTTGAAAGGCCCTTTTGGAGAGACAAAACCATAATCCCTGTCTCAAGAAGTTTTAGTCCAGCTAAACATGAAACAAAACAGAGATAATAAGTGTTTGAACTGAGATATTAATGGTGCTTTGCAAGGTGGACAGGGTAGGGAGAAGAGAGGCTATAAGTGTTAGATTTTATGATAACCATAGAATTCCTGAAAAGGGAGAAATCAATGAAGGGTGGCACAGTAATGGAAAGCTCTCTGAAAAGGGACTTGAAAGGTAGTTAGGTGAAGTTTGGATAGATAGAAAGATAGATAGATAGATAGATAGATAGATAGATAGATAGATAGATAAGAAAGGAAATATTTGTTGAACTGCTTTATTAAAATGGCACAACTTGGTCCAATCAGATTTTTCTTTTGGTTATAAGTAATTAGAATATAAGAATTAAATTTCTTTGGGATGCCATGAGGATTAATGTATGAAAATTACTTTGATGATTATTGAGCTTTCTGAATCGGCTATAGGTTGTATTTAATTTTGATTATATTTTGGATATTCATAACATTTGCTCTTGGTCCTCATTGGAAAATTTTGACCTTTGATTTTACTTTTCAGTCCAAATAATGAAATAAAGTATCTCTGCCCCATTCACTGTAAATATTCAATTCTTCATGTCTATCTTTTCTTACCATGCCCCTGTTAGGGTAGTGCAGCTTTGCTTGTTTTTTAGCTAGTGGAAGGAGGTGATGCTTTTCAGTGACTTGAGGTTGACACAGAAAACTTTTGGTAAGCATGTGAACAAAGTGACTTTTTTTTTGATATGTCTTGATTTCAGAGAGAGGAAGGGAGAGGGAAAGAAAGAGATGGGAACATCAATGATGAGTCATTGATCTGCTGCCTCCTGCACGTCCCTACTGGGAATCAAGCCCCCAACTGGGGCATGTGCCCTGACAGGGAATCGAACCAAGATCTCCTGAATCATAGTCATAGGTTAATGCTCAACCACTGAGCCACCCTCACTGGGCCAAAGTGACGTTCTTAACCTTTAAAAGATGGCATTTAAAAGACAGCATCATACAAATTCCATATATTTTCCAGGATCAACTGTACAAATAATGGTTTCTTTCCTTTTGCCTGTAAAAAAGAACGTATATGCTTAGGTTTCTGAGTATTTAATGTTGGATCAACAGTTCCTTGAAAGAACATTTTCAATTTCAAATAAATCTATAAGCTTAATAATAATAATAACTTAAATTTGTATAGCACTGTTTATCCTCACAATAACCTCGTAAAGTAGATATTATTTCACAGATAGGAAAAGAGGCTCATGCTGGCCTGGTAGCTTGGTTGGATCATTGTCCTGATGTGCTAGGGTTGCGGGGTTCCATCTCTAGTGGGGACACATGCAGTAAGCAACCAGTGCATGCGTGGGTGCATGGAATGGCAAATTGATGTTTCTCTTAAATCAATAAAAAATTTTTTTTAAAAAAGAAAAGAGGCTCAAGGTCTTATAGTAAGTAGCACACCTAGAGTTGAACGTAGGTCTCTGCTTTCCATGCCAAATGCTTTCTCCACACAAAGCTGTCCCCTTTAAATGAGTCAGTAGCTGTGGGATTTATTCATTAGACAATATTTCTTAACTTCTTTCACAAGGGTATGCTGCATTTTGATCAGGATATTAAATGTATTTTAGGATTCATATTGTGAATCATAGTGTGAATTCATAGTGATGTCTGTCACGTGGAGTGTTGAGCTGAGTGTCAGCCACATGATGCATTGCTTAGGGGGATAAAACGTGCTGTAACTAGACAGATATAATTTAATGTCAATTCAATGAGAGCAAAGACTGAGAATGTACACTGAAGCAAAGGGGAAGCTTTGTGGAGAGCCTGGACAGAGAAATAAACTTCTTTGTTCTAATAGCTACACAGACCAAAGGGGGACCAAATGGAAAGTGTGATAATTAGAAAGTTTTTTCAAGTTTCCAAGTTGATGTTTATTTAAAAAAATTTTTTTTTAAGATTTTTTTTTTAGAGAGAGAAGGGGGGAGAGAGAGACAGACAGACAGACATTGATGTGAGAGCTGAACATCGATTGGCTGCCTCCTGCACATCCCCTACTGGGGATTGAGCCTGCAACCCTAGTATGTGCCCTGGCCAGCAGTCGAACCAGCAACCCTTCATGACAGGGATGACACCCAATGAACCGAGCCATAGGCCCGAGTTGATCTTTTTAAAAGCCAGTATTTGCATTTTAATAATCCTGTTTGGGATACTATCCAGAACTTTGTATTTCAGAAATGTACTAGTACTCAAAAAGGATTGTAAAATACTGCCTTAAATCTTAAATTGTCTTGCATCTCATACTTGGGATGTCATCTCTTTGACCTACCTTAATTGTAGGGTTACCCCAAGGCAACCCCTTCTAGGGCAGTTCCCATCCAGGGAAAGGACTTGTTTTTGGTAAACATTGAGTAAGTAAGTGCTTTAAGTATTGAGGTAGCTTCTTTGAGGTAAAACTACAGTGGGGAGTGTTAAGGGTAGTATGTCTAGGGTGATAATATTGTCATGGAGCCTGATCTATAATGACTCTCTTCTGTAGCTAGCCATGTAGCATCTGAATGAAGATCCTGTCTGGCCTCTTGCTTCCCAGTCTCATATTTGAGTGGGAAGTCAGAACTATTCTCTGAGGGATTACTTGCTTAGGGACTCTTGCTAGGTTCTGTGGATTCTGCATGGCAGTTCTGACAAAAGTGAGAAACAACATTTATGCTTAATTTTCTAAGCCCCAGTTTCATAAATTATAGAAAATAAATACTCTGTCAGCAGTAAGAGTCTAAATTCAAGGAGGGGCAGGTAATACAATCCCTGTTTTCCAGGATGGAAAAACTGAGGTGCAGAAAGATTAAAGAGCAGACTGGAGATCATACTGCAAGACGCTTGCGCACCTGGGAATTGGATCTGGGCCTTCTAACTCCTGTAGTGTCTCATATATTACAGGAAGGTGATACTGAAGGTCTTCTTTTCAGTCTGTCTTTTTCTTGGCATGTATATTCAAGGTACAGTGCATCGCCTTCAGTGACTGGATGAAACATTGTACTGAGAAACTTGAAGGCACTTGCCAAAAGATGTACAATGACTGCCTGGAAATACAGGCTACTAACTATATGCCAAGAAAAAATAAAGTGTTCTATTTGGGTTTATAGAGAGGAAGTATTTGTAATGCCTTAGATCTTCAAGTCCTGTGAAGAAGCAGTAGTCCTACATAGAAGCACAGCTCCCTTTGTGTTTGTCTAAATCTACAAGAGGAAAAGCGAATGATTTTTGGCAGGCTGACTAGTAAGCAGGCTATGCGTCATTTAATAGATGTGAAGTTCTGCGTTCTTTTTGTCTGCTTTGGGACATAATTTAGGAGCAGTGTGTTTTTACTAAAGGCCTATTGTCTGTTAGTGCTCAAGGGAGGTCTGGGATTCATGGGGGAGGGCTATGAAAGGAGAGATGGGATAGTGGATCACAGTGGCTTACTAGGATATGAAATAAAAGTCATGAAGACCTGTTAAGCAGAAGAGATGGGGGCTCTCTGGAGGCAGGCTTTTAAAAGGACTGAGCCTGATAAGAGGTGAATAAGGAAATCTCAGAGTTTTTGACTCACGTAAAATTATGTATGTATGAGTTTCTAAGCTTCCTTGGTCCACCTCTGTTGTGAGTGAATTTAATT